AGTCGTGTGTATACAAATATAATAATATGAAGACGGAAATCGCTATTGGGTGGAGAAATACAATATAACATTATTACGCGTATTATGAACTCTTACAATGACACCACGGACAATTATCATGCCCGACATCAGACCAAAAGCCATGCCGTGGCACCTTTCAAATGACACTGCACAAACCAGAAACACGAATTTGTATATCATTTCACCGTATGCGTTATGTAGTTTGCCTTTTGAAATTTAAGATAGCGAGACTGGATTTCACAAAATCTTCATGGATAATGAAGTTACGCTTTTTTATTTTTTATTTGCGTCTTCAAACGTTAATGAAAGACCAGAAGGCATGTCCTCAAAGAGTTAAGCACCTCCAACAATTGTTTTCACAGCAGATAATATATTGTTGTAAGAGTAAATGTTTTAAGCGCCTATCAACACAAATTAGATCACTTATCAGAGGCATAAACGGAAGCCAGTTACATCGGTCACACACTACACCGGCATTGGTGCTCACACATCACATGAAACCTACATGGTAAATGGTAAGGGGTAAAGCAGTGATTTCGATGAGGATGATTGATTGAGTAGGTGTTTTACGGCACTATCGACTCAATTTTGGTCAACAATGTGGATGATTTAAAGTAGGAGACCTCAGAATTAGATTTTTATCTCCAGTAGAAATCACGAGGAGATAAACTCTGTAGCTTGAAATAAATATAGCTTAGGCAAGATGAGGTGAGCAAACCATCGTTGAGAATGGATAAACGTGTGCGTCTGTGAGAACAGTGTTTGCAAAAGGTATAAACATATTCGTACTATTGTTACTCGTTTCAAATCTCCACCTTGTTACATGCTTCATGTCTCCATTAACACGCTTTAGGTAATTTGGGAGTCATGCTGCTTTGGCCCTGCCTATCGGGAGTCAGCCCGGGTGGTGAGGATACAATGTCCCAGCAGTAAGACGTGGATCCGGAAGAAAATACCCAACCCACCAGGGAAATCGAACGTTGTTTTGTTTTTTATTTTTGTTTTTGAGCGTGTAAAACAAATCAGCACGGATGCTGACAGACATTGATTTGTGCCGATTTTTAAGAATGCATAAAGTAATTGGTAGAGTTAACACAATGGCACTGTTGATGCTTGAAGTCAGTAGAATGATTTAAACGATCATTAACAGAACCGCGAACAAAGATCTTTACTCTCTTCGCCGACGATAAACCGATTTTCCACCTTCTTATATTAAGATTCTCAGTACGTTCATCCCACACGTGTGGAATTATCAAGAAAAAACTACATGGTCTGAAAAAAGGAATGATAGAAAAAGATTTTTACGTTTTTGTAAACGAAGTACTCGTATTTACTTGGCACGCACTCTAAGCCAATTTCAAGTCGAACAAACATATCCACGGAAAATAAGGCTAGTGATTCAAGCCATTAATTGTCTTTGCACTTTCGTTAATGTATTCGGTATATTAATTATATCGGTCTCCCCTCTGTGGTACCTTCACAACGTGTTCGTGGCTTAGACCTGAAGTTGAAGTATTGGAGATTCTGTTGGTTGAAACATGGAGTAATGCAGCAAGACCAGCCACAAAAGATATATCGATAAAAATTTTGGGTTAAAATCAGCGCGACAACATGGGTTACACCGGTAAAAGCAATTTGTTGGTTCTGTAAACTTTTAAGATAACAATCCTATTTGGTACAATGATACGGAAACATATACGATGACATTTTGTTTACAAAGTTATCTTTGTCGAGAAAGGAATCACACCGCTCCTTTCTCGAAGACCATCAAAAATATCTTGCTTAATACAATCGTAAGAAAGCAACATTTGCTTAAATGTCTTTTTTTTTGCGCACTTATTGTACGTTTTTCATATTTTAAAATATTTCAATTAATTATATAATCATGAAAGATTATACAAACAATAATAACAACGGAGATGATACAATAACAAGATTAAACAAACAATTAGTTCATATATAATTTTACCATTCTGTAGTCGGGTGTACCAATTATCAAACCTAAATCTCTTGATAAACAGCGTTATGCAATGCCCTCTACAATAATCTCATCTCCAACCATTTCCTGTCAGTTCAGAGCATCTTTCGGTTGAGTAAAAAGACACAATATAACACGACGGCTATTAACTTAATAGAGTAGGGAAATACAAAATAAACAGGCAAACTGTTGGGAAGAAAAGAAACAGGACAAGATAGCTAGAAGTGAGTATCAAACTTTTCTTTGAAAAGATGTCTCAAATACAATCACTAGGGCCATTCATGGCAGAGGACCATTTATGAACAAGTTAAGAGACACGAGGGGGGGGGGGAGGGATGGGAGTTTAATATAAAATATATCGTCTATTATAACACTCCACCAAGCTACCAAAAAACACAAATGTTCGGTTTTCCTGCTCTTTGTTTTCTGCCTTCACGTTACCAAAAAGTCCACTTCAAAAATAATATTGGTGGCATTTTTTAAAAATCACAAACAAAAACA